GAAAAAAATTGTGTTCCTCAAAGTGAATAAGGGGAAGCAGATCAGTATCACACTTTTAACACAACAAATCCACTGCCCCTCAGGTTACAGCACAGATTATTATGCAGAGTAATAATAATCCTTGCATTTGTTATATCGCGCCTCATCACGTCTTGAACACGTCTCAAAGCGCTCCACAGAATATGCTGTAAAGTGAATTGACTGTATATTGTCACGGCAGCCAACTGTGCGCAGCAGCGTCCCCACAAACAGTTGTTGATTGAGTGACCACGTTTGTATAAAAAAGTATTTTAAGGTATTCTTACCCCCGAAAAATGATCTGCCAATTGAATAAAAACCAGGTACCTACTTACTGCTACGTAAACATCAAATTACATTTGTATAGTGTCTTTCACGTCAGGAGGACGTCCCAAGGCACTGGACAGTCAGGGATTTGCACCTGAGCTGTTGGTTGAGATTGGGAGAGGTGGAGGGCAGGAAGGGTAGGGTAGGGTAGGAGAGAGACTGAAGCACAGTCGAAGGGAGGGTCTTGAAGGAGGCAATATTTTGGACGGGGTAGGGTCATGGATCCTGGTACGGGAGAGGACACGGGTTGTGCAGTGTTCTGGAGGATCTCCATCCTGTGGAGGGAGGAGGTGGGGAGGCCAACAAGGAGGGCACGTGGAGCCAGGAAACTTGCCTAATGTTTTGCTCTGCATGGGAATCAAACCCAGGTCTTCTCGCTTGCAAGACAAGTACACTAACCAATACGCTACAGGATTCCACTCGATATTTTATTTGGGATAGTGCCTTATCATTTCAATTAAAGTCATTAATTTAATGTCATTAATTAATTTAATAAATTTAATAATTTAATTATCAGTTACAATCAATTCACTTTACAGTCTATTCTGTGAAGGGCTTTGAGAAGTCTAGAAAATGTGAAAAGTGCAAATGCAAATGCAAAGATTATTATATTATTATGATGTCTCAAAGCACTTCATAAGATTTTACTGTGATGTAGATTGTGTTATACGTAAATATCCGTAAATATAATTATACGTAAATTATTATTATTATTATTATCCCCAATGCTGGGGGAAGCGTTGCACTGTTGGAGTTGCTGCACTTCAAATAACACATTAACCCTTTCCACTTGCCTCCCGTCGAGTGCATGTTAAAAGTTGCAAAGTTGGTCACTCACTCCATGGTTGTTTGTGGGACATTACTGAGTGCAAATTGGCTGCAATGTTCGGCTACAAATACACTTCATAGTAATTCTTGTGAAGCACTTTGATCTGTGGTGATGACATTATAAGAAACTCTAGTAAACTCCTGATAACTTGACCCTGACTTAACTTGTTAATATTTCTTAGATCACCATGCTGTCAACATCCCTGCCGTATTTGTTTACATATTTGTACACATGCCTAACTCGCTACTCCTGATAACTCATCACTGATCCCTTTCTCCTTGGAGTGACGAGTTATCAGGAGTTTGCTGTATATCAAATGCAAGGATTATTAATATGATTATCTGCTTTTTGTTTCAACCGCAGTTTCCAGCAGTGAGTTCCCCATTCTGATGAACCTTTATAAAACATTGGTGAGGCCTCAGCTCGAGACTATGTTCAGTTCTGGGCCCCACACTTTAGGAAGGATGTCAGGGCATTGGAGAGGGTACAAAGGAGATTGACCAGGATGGTACCAGAAATGAGGGGCTTCAGTTATCAGGAGAGGTGAGAGAACCTTGGACTATTCTCCTTGGAGCAGAGAAGGTTAAGAAGAGACTTAATAGAAGTTTTTAAAATTATGAGGGGAGTCGATAAGGTGAACAAGAAGAAACAATTTCCACTGGTGGGTGGGTCGGTAACCTGAGGACACCCATTTAAAATAGTTGTTAAAAGAAACAGAGGGGAGGTGAGGAGAAATGTTTTCACACAGCGAGTTGTTCGGATCTGGATTGCATTGCCTGAAAGGCTGGTGGAAACCGATTCGATAACAACTTTTAACATAACATAACGTTAGGCAGGAGTAGGCCATTCAGCCCTTCGAGCCTGCCCCGCCACTCAATCATGGCTCATCTTCTAATCTAACTCCAGCTAATAACCTGACCCTCCTTATCCCCATAATCCCTTAATTTCTTTAGCAATAAGAAATCTTTTAAGAGAGAAGTAGATAATTATTTGGGGAGGACAAGTTTGCAGGGCAATGGGGAGAGAGCGGGAGAGTGGGATTGATTTGGAAGCTATTTTCAAAGTGCCAGCACAGACACGATGGGCCAAATGGCCTCCTTCTGTGCTGTATAATTCTATGATTCTCACCACTGTCTGAGTGAAGAAGTTCCTCCTAAACTTCCTTTTAAATCTGCTACTAACTCAGCTTTAAGATACGATTCTATCACTACTGTCTCTATCTTGCATCTCACCCCCTTCCCTCCCACCGCCCCAGTGGTTCAAGTTCAAGATCCTCGTCCTGGCTTTCACATTCCTCCAGGGCTTGTAAAGTTGCTAAGGGTTGGTGGCTGTTACTGGAGGGAAATGATACCAGGACAAGGCTGGAGCAGACATTGCCTGGAGCCTCCCGACAGCTCAGCTTGTGGCTCTCAGGCAAAGCTGTTGCACGCACAGTGAAACAGGAACCCGCCCCAGTCGGAGGGTTCCTGTTGCACTGTGTGTGTGTAAAAGCAGTTTTGGGCAGGTGCCTAATTTTTAATCTTTTCAAAAAAATTAAACATTTAAAGCTCCCAAACTTTTTTTTAAATTTGTGTTTTTTTGTCCATTGCACTCACCCGAAATCATTTTAGTATCCCACATAGCATAAGGTTGGGCTACTGATTGGGCTACAAACGTATTGTATGTTAATTTCTGGCAAAGGCTCGCATTGGTGAATGAGCCTGGCCACCTCTCACTTACTCAGTCACTCAGTTTTGCTGCCAAGTGCACATCACAGGAAGCGTTCTCAACTCAATTGGGATAAGGAGGATTAATTCCTGACATCAGCCAACTGTGCTGGAGGCTT